TATGTAAAACATAGCTCATATGTATGTGTATATATATATATATATATATATATATATATATATAAAGATTTACTTATTTATTTGAGAGAGAGAAAGAGCACGGTGGGCAGGGGCAGAGGGAGAGAATCCCAAGCAGACTCCATGCCCAGAGCAGAGCATGATGCGGGGCTCGATCCCACAACACCGAGATTATGACCCAAGCCAAAATTAAAAGTCAGAGGCTTAACTGACTGAGCCACCCTGGTACCCCTCAATAATATATTTTTTAAAGATTTAATTTAAGTAATCTCTACACCCAACATGGGGCTCAAACTCACAATCCCAAGATCAACAGTCACAGGCTCCACCGACTGAGCCAGCCAAGTGCCCCATCAATAATATATTTTTAAAGCTACAAAAAGTAGGGGTCTGATCACCTTCCCTTGAAAGCTAAAATTCATAGAGTACCTATTATCTGCAGAGCACATTGGTAAATGTTTTACTTCATTAATTCATTTAATCCTCAATACAACCCAATGAAGCACCTTTTAAAGATAAGGAATTTGAGGCACCAAGGGGGTTAAGTAATTTGCACAATGTCCTGCAGCTACTAAGTGATAGAGCAGGGCTTATAAAACCAGGCAGTCTGGCTTCAAAGCTCAGGCCACACACTAATTGCCAGGAGCAATGACCATTAAAAGTTGTGATATACGCTTCCAGATAATTTTTATTGAGGGAGTGCAGGCACACACATGCATATGTGTGGGTGTAGACAGATAAGAGTGATACATATGGAACTATACTAGAGGCCAGCAAACTCTAGCCCACAGGCCAAATCATGCCCACTTTTGTTTATATATAGCCCATGAGCTAAGAGTAGAAGGATGGGATTTATATTTTTACATGACTGAGAAAGAAGGGAATACAAAAAGAAGAGTAGCATTTCATGACACATGAAAAGCATTTCATGACAAATAAAATTCAAATCTCAGTGTCCATCAGTGAAGTTTTATTGGGACACAGACATCTTCATTTATCTAAGTTTGGTCTGTGGCCATAAACACCACTCTATAAAAGCAGAGTTGAATAGTGGCAACAGAGATAGTGATCCTGCAAAGCACTGAATATTTCTATCAGGCCCTTTATAGAAAACGTTTGCTGACTCTTGGATTATACCATACATGATACTCTAAAACTTTCTTTGTCACTAAGCATTATATCATTTTGAACCTTCCAGATTTCCTTAATTTCTTTACATGGCTGCAAAATAAAAATGCACCTAAAATTATTAAACCTTTCTCCTACTGTTGAAAATGTCATATCCTTCACCAAAACGCTCTCAATATGGTTGGATTAATTTATTTGCCTCCTAATGGAATGTGAAAATGACCTACATTTTGGTGGCCTTGGTATCTGCACGTTGAGCAGTTTCAGACCTGTATCACCTGAATACAAAGCTCTTCCCTCCACTGCTCAGTAGCCACCAGTGTTGATGCTGAGTCCTGAGCTAAGTCACTGTTTTGGGACTACCTGGTCTGTCAACTTTGCATAGCCTGTATACAGAGGAACCCAGCTCACATTCTTTTCAACTATCCTACCTTCCTGGCTTGGGCATATGACACAGAAACTTCTGTTCTTTTAAAGTAGTTAGAAAAGTGGAAGGGTAGCTACTATTTTTAGTTCCCTACAGTGGATACTGCGGTGGGCCATCAGATCCCTCCCCATTACATGTTGAGACTTGGGAATTGCCTCAGCAGAATAAAGTCACCTTGTCTGATGTCAAGTCCCCTTTCCAGAGAAACACATCCAGTAACTGATCAATGCAGATGTATAAAAGCCCATCCACCGTGATCTAAAGTAGGACAATTAAAAAGTACCACCCCAACTCCAGAGCTCCTTACAGAATCCACTAAGGCTCAGTTGAACATAATCATAGTGAGACTTCTCTTGCCCAATTCTCTCATTGCACAAAGATGTTTCCCTGAGAACTCTAACCCATAAATTGTCTACAATCAAATCTGCATCTTAGAGTCTGTTTCCCGGGGGAAACTGACCTAAAACACTCCTCTCTAACTCTTCCCAGAAAAAGAGAGATGGGATATTTGATAGGACTTCTGAGTTTAGGAGAAGAAAAGGAATACATATGGCTCAGCCCCTCCCCCAGTCTCTCTTTTGGGCCAGCACCCATGCAGAGAGGCACACGCCCCTCCTGCCTCTGTCCTTTGCAAGGTAGGCACACCAGGTTCATGCCTCAGACCGTGCTTTTCAAGGCAAATCTGGGCAACCATCAATCTCTTTTCACAGTAATGAGGCTTTAAACCACGTGACAAGGAAGAGGTCTAAGGAAATCTTCTCTGAAGTCTAGATTTCTTCTAGGGTTGAATCTCCCAGAATCTAACCTTAGGGGAAGATACTAGAAGTCCAATTGTGGGAGTAAACCAAATCGAGGATCTCCAATTCAGCCTGATCAATGATTATGCCAATGATGTGACCTTTATCTGCTTTATTCCCTGAGTCTTTGTTTTCTCAGTTGGATCAAAACTACGGGACAGAGGTGAATCTATCATCATCCTAAACCACACTGACAAAGAGTAGCACTATGTATTTCCAATAGGTAAACCTTCATTCCTTATTATGAACAGTCTAATTTAATAGGCTTAATAGTCAAATTTACCTATATTTACAGGGAGATGGTACCCCAGCAACTTCTTAGATTTGGGGTAGGTTTTAGTTCAAATCCAACTTGGGCATTTTAGATTTAAAAAGTAGTTTTCAAATAGGAAAACTGAGCTTTGTTTCCTTCTTGTTAATGAATCTAGGTACATCCAGCGCAGATTTAGTTTAAGAATTAAAAGCAATAATATAAATAAAGTGCCTCTGGCAATACCTGATATGTAGGTACTCAATAAATGTTAATTCAAAGCTCAGTGAGTATTAAGAACTACTTATATTAGACCCACATGGGTCCACTGCAGGTTTTTCAAAAAGAACAAAAATCCTCTCTCCTCCACTTCCAAAAAGCAGGATGCCTTTTCTTCCTGAGAAGATTATTTCAAGTCAAAATTCTGAACTATGAGTAGCTGAATAAAGCTCCCACCAAAAATAAGGAGTGCAAAAATAGGTAGCAGATGACAGAGAAGTAGATGCAGAGAGCAACAGGAAGTCATGTCCCTTTCCCCCTTTACGTTACGGAAAGCACAGTATATAGACCGAATGTCTGTGACCCTCCCAAAGTTCATATGTTAAATGCTAACCTCCAAAGTGATGGTATGAGGAGGCAGGACGTGCTTAGGGAAGTGATTAGGTCATGAAAGCAGAGCCTTCTTCAGTGGGATTAGTGCCCTTATAAAAGAGAGCCCAGAGAATTCCCTTGACTCTTCCATCAGCTGAGGACACACTGAGAAGACAGTGTCCATGAAGCAGCAAGTTGACCCTCACCAGACCCTGAATGTGTCGGCACCTTGCTCTCGGACTTTCCAACCTCCAGCACTGTGAGAACTAAATGTGTGTCGTTTAAGCCACCCAGGGTATGGTATTCTGTTATATTAGCCTGGACTGACTAAGAAAGGAGAGAATATTTCCTAAGCCTGCTAAGAGCGCTGTTAGCTCTGGCCACACAGGTACCCCAAAAGTGAGATAGGGAAGAGCTTCCAGAGACTGGCCACCCATGATGGCAGGTACCAAACTGGGACTCTAATCCCATCCGGCCCCAGGCATCAAACCGTGTAAGAACTGCCTTCCTCCTGCGTAGTATGTGGCAAAGAAAGGAAGTGTGTGGTGATTAGCCCCATCATGTTCTCTTCTCGTAGAGAGAGAGAATCAAGTACCCTGATAGTTTGTTTAGAAAAGCAGCTTAAACCCAGGGACTTAATAAGATGCTGAAATGGGTGAGTTTAAACAACAAGCAACACTGGGAAGCTCAGCGGAGAACCAATTAACCAAAATAAGAATGTTCACTTATGTCAGGGTGAATGCAACTAATGATTACTCTGGGGAGTCGTCTGCTATGAACCAGCATTCAGGTGAAAGACCTTGCACACTAAGAATAAAACTAAGGAAAACTAGAAAAACTAAGAAAAGAATGAGCTTCTTTAAACTTCTGGGAAGAAAATCCTAGTATGTCACAAAGTATTCCAGGAAAAGAACCTGGGATTGGAGGTGGAGGTGGGTGACTTTGGCATGTAAACTCTGGGGATGTAATCAATGACTTGATTTGTATTTGAGACTCTGATGCCTCTGATTTTTGTGAATTCAAACCATTAATACTATTAATATGAGTAGTCTGATCTAAAAACCAAGATCAAACATTTAACACCATGACCTTCAGAACTAGTGAATTCCAGAGAGGAGCTGAATGCTCTGTGAAGAAACATTTACCCTACCAAGTTTATCAAAATCTGTTGAATACAAACTTTACAGTAGTCTTTTAAGTCTCGTGCCATTTAAAACAGAGAGAGAGAGAAAGAGAGGGAGGGGGAGGAGGTAAAGGAAGGGAGGGGAAGGGAAGGAAGACAAGGGAAATCTATTCCTTTAAAATATGTTCTGTAATTCTTTTCCAAAAGACCATGATTATATTCCATGGGTTATATTCCAGAAAGTAGTTTTATAAATCCTAAGTAAGACCTGACAAAAGGAGAGAAGGTAAAATTACCGAAGCACACTACTTCTGAATTCTATTCGGTGCTATACATGGTCTAGAGCACAGGGACAGGGGAGATTTAAAGAATGTGTTCAATTCTTTGTAAACATGAGGTGGTAGAGATTCCCATTCAAAGGGACAGATTACTAGTTTAAGAAATGGGAGAAAAGTTCTGACATCTTCCTCAAGCTAATCACCCATTTTCTGCAGGAGTGCCGGAATTATTGCAAAGTGCTTAGTTCTATAAACGTATTGTCAACGCTTAAGTTTTACATAGAAGAGAACAAATATTTCAAAGTATTTAAAAACATCCTCTGCATTTTTATATGTATGTCTTTACTCTTCCTTCTTTTTACGGAAAGGAGGAAATTTCCCAGCTCACCTGTTTCAAACCCCACACTTGGCACTAAGTCCACGGTTCCATGAAAGGCTCCGGCCCACGCTGAGGTAGCAGTGGTGACTGTAGTCGGATCTGTCTTTGTGATGTCACACTGGGGAGCAGGTATCCTGGCCGTGCGCACTGACGGCATCAGCAGGGGCCCGTAGGATGGATCCAGGGCAGAGCCAGCAGAAGGGTGGTGGTGGTGGTGATGATGGCGGTGGTGCATGTGGGCATGGGGGTGGTGGTGCCGCATGTACACGTCATGCATGTGGCTGTAGGATGGGCTCACCTGAGATGCCAAAGGGTAGTGCCAGGACTCGGATGCGGGAGGGGGAGGGGCCGGGCCAGTCTGATGCAGCCCATGTCCCGGCCAGGGGCTGGGGTCGGCTGCGGGAAAGGTGCCAGGGGGTGCAGTGACCTGGAAGTCAGGATGAACACCCCCCAAGCAGGGTGCAGATGGGGGCTGGTAAGAGCTGGTCCAAAAGGAAGTCGGGAAACTACTCCGCTGGCTTGAGAGAGCTGAGCTGTCTGAGAAGACAGAAAAATTATTTACATAAGATTCAGTTCTAGGATAGACTTGCCTCTACTTGTCCCATATTTTACAAGCAGGCTAATTAGTATGCACTCTTTCCTCCCGACACAGAGGTAAATGGATACCAGGTAAGTCTCTGAGATCCCACACCAAGGCAATGCACACGGTTCAAGGTGCTGAATGAGTGCCCCCCCTACCCCCGACCCCTCATTCGCTTAGCTTATGCAGTCACAGTCTAGGCTGAGGTTTGCCAAGTCTGAGACTGAAAAGCTTCATTTGCTGCTGGGTGGCTTGCTGCCATCAGATCTGAGCAGAGGTCACAGGTACATACATCACAGGTAAAGAAAGCTTATGCCCTAGATGTGAGTCAGGTAGGTTGGAAATGCTGATGTTTATCAAACTTCTTATAAATGCAAATGCAATTTTCATTCAAACAAAATTTTAATGCTGAAAGTAATAAATGGAAATATGATCACAGTGAATTATGCTCATCAACACTCACTTCCCATCAAGAAGAGTATAGCTCAAGCTTATTTTTTTTTTTTTTTCTTCTGTAGAGGTCCGGGAGTCTCTGGACTGAGAATAAAAGTGTTGATATTTAGTAACAGTGACCAAATGCCCAATCTTAGTCCAGGGACTTTTCATGGATGATCTTATTGGATCCTCATGCCGACTCTATGAGGTAGTTATTGTTATTACCCCCATTCTAGAGATATGGAAATTGAGGCAGGGAAAAAGCCCAAGATTTCACAGCTGGCAAGTGGGAGATGGGGCTTGGAAAGCAGGTAGCCTGCCTCAGTGGCTGGCACTCTTCATATCTGTGCCACAAGAGAACACAATTGCAACCATGACAAGAACATCTAGAACTCGAGGGGGATTCTGTGGAGATCATGAGTGGGGGATATTCAAGTAGGGGTAACAGGTGTGAGGAGGGGTTAGGCGGAAGGGTAATATAAAAGAAATAACACTTAGAGATAAATAAAGAGGGAAACCACCCCCTCCAACTCTTGTGTTCAGTTAAATTTCTCCACTCAATCATCATAACATATTTACAGATGACTTACTATGTGCCAAGCATAGGGAGGTCAGGGATGACCAAAGGCATCACAGTCTAGCAGGGGACAGATAAATAAGTAAACATGTGCAATGTGACCTGGTAGGGGCTCCCATAAGGGGAAGCACAGAGAGAGGGCACAGAAGGAGCCTAAGAAAAAATAAATTACAAGAGTGGGTAGGGCTAGCCTTGTGAAGAGGTTGGGAAGAGTGGTGTAGGCAAACAAAAAAATTATGTGAAAAAGGCCAAAAATTACACACACACACACACAAGTAGCATATGAGGAACAAAAAAGAATTATGTGGGCAGAAGGTGGCAAGAAATTAGACTAAAAACTCAGACTGGGTCCAAGGAAGACCGAAATGGGCCTGGTCAGCCATGTAATGAATGTGGGCACTGTCCTGAGGAGGTGCCAGTGGGCTTTGAAGAGTTTTAATCTAGGGAATGACATAGCCAGATCTGTGACTGGAAAGATCCACAACTCCAGCTATGGCCTGTGTGTACTATGGGCTATAAAAGAGCAAGCTCAGGACTGGGAGTCTAGAGAGCTCAACTAGAGAGCTAGCACCTGCCAATTACCTTCTCTGATTCCATGACCTCAAATGGATCTGTTGATCTCCCTATGGCTCAGTTTCTTCCACATGAGGTATCTGAATTAAAATTCCAAATATTTTCTGACTCTATATTTCTATCATTCTGTGAAGTGGCCTATGATGTCTATCTATAGATGAAGATAAGGTTGCTTAGCCCATGAGTCATGCGTGGCTAATAAGATACTATTTTCATACAGGGTTCCACACAAAAGAACCTAGCTAGATCTTTTCATTGAATGAAGAATATCCCAAGAAGTACTCGGAAATAAAAGTATTCAGAAATCTGACAGATCCATGTTCTCACTTCATAAATTTCCAGGACATAGTTTTCTTACCACAGCGGAAGGCTTCTGTAACTTGAACCAGCCACCATATATGTAATTTGACTAACATAATTAGAATATCACCATGGTGTTCAAATGTTTCCTTTCTCCAGCTTCCCCGACGACTGCTGCACCAGCACTGCAGACCCTCCCCCTCCTCCCTGTCAGCCCTACACCAAGGCTACCATCATTCACCCCATTCATTCTGCGGACAGACAGCCATTTGGTGTCTCACATTCAAGTCTGTCCCCCACAGAATATCCAAGGTTCTCAAACCCCTTGGGGAAATAAAAAAAACAATGATATTCTCCAAGAGGCAAAGGATGGAAGCGCACATTGTTCTTCAAGTCTTCAAACAGTCCGGGCAAACTGTTAATTGAATGACTTTGCTTTGTCACCATCACATCTCTCAGAAAATAACATTTAAAGTCAAACTTACTGGCATTGGGGCCAGTCTGTTTTATTTCAGAATTGTCTCCCTTGACATATGAAAAGTGGCTGCTAATGACCTGCAAAGAAAGTTGTGTAAGCCGTGAGAAGAAAATTCAATTTGCCTTAAATGGTGGCCATTTGTAGAATATTCTGTCACACCCACAATGATGGCTGTCAATGTTAAAACCCATGCAAAAGTTTACAGAGCCTCCTTATATGGTGCTGCTTTGCCACCCTGAATCTGTCACTTTGCTGCCACAGATTCAATCTTTGGTACCAAACCCTTCATTCTGCTCATAACTTTCGTCTCCTGAAGGGGCCAGAATCCTGTTATAAAAACTGCTAAGCCCAACCCACAGGTGCGAGCCAGAGATACTGAGTTCCCCTTATTAAAATCCCCCATTAAAATGTCAAAACTACAGAGTCTACATCATTTTCCCGGATGCTTTCTTTTTACTTCCTTTCATTTATACATACTTGGACCCAATTTTATTTTATAGATGCTTAGGCATTTGGATATGCATGCACAAATGTGAATAATGAACAAATTCCTTACCCAAAATATTACCCTATTTATGAATTATTGTATTGTAATTAGTGAACACACTGTCAATGAAAGTGGAAATCTATTTTTAAAAACGTGCTCCATAAAGGCTGAACAAAGCTTTAAAATGCCCCAGGGAAAAATAAAATTAGAAGCAACTTAATATTTTCCCAGTCCCTATGTCTCCTGAGATTAATATAAAGTCTGCAGAGATCTATGCAGCCCTTTTCAAAGACAATGTTGCATTTTACAAGTAAATGAAACAATGTTGAAGAGAAAATATGTTTAGGGACCGTCTACACTTTAAAACCACTATTTGGTATCTGGTTGTTAAAAAAAAATCTTAATACAAAGAAACAGATGATATACTTTGTTTCATGCCTGGGAATCAGTGTGCTTATTTCATATGTATGTAAATTTTTTTCATTACATGACTCTTTGCTTACGAGTACTTAATCACAGCCACATTTGTTTGATGAAAAAGCATATGAAAAACTTGTGCACAAGCTATTTCCATGCAATATTACTTTTCTGATTAGTGGAGGCAATTCAGAACTGTCAGATGTTAATACTCCATGGTGACTCTGGACTCAATGATACTCAATATTCAGATGATGTCAGCCAACACTGACACTATGACACATACAAAAAATCTAAATACACTTTGGTTCAATTTGCATTTGGGAATTAAAAAATATTACACACACACACACACACACACATCCTTATTTCTAAAAAACAAAAATGACAAAATTGTTATGTTGCCTAACACAATCCACCCAAGGCATACTCAGTAATCTCGCTGTGTGAATTACACAGAAATATACTTTAAAGACACAGAAGAGTTTAATGTGGAACATCAAGTTAGTCTTTCAATTTCATAATAGATGGGATACTTTTTGTATTAGCTCTAAATATTTCTGAAAAAAAAAAGAAAAAAAAAAAACCTCTTAGGGTAAACAATTCAAGCCAGAGAAAATTTAACATTTAATTTCAAAAATTAAACACTTTACTAGTTAATTTTGAAAAAAAATAAAAGCTATATTAAAAGGAAAATGGTACAATAGAATGTTGTAAAACCTCTATCTTCAGTCATCTTTAAAATCTCCAGGAAACATATTCTTAGAATAATGATACAAAATATCAACATTAAAAAATAACATTTGCCTTTTTATTAACTTAAGTGAAAAAAAATGCGACTCAACTCTTAACCCAAAGGGTCCTTACTGTAATTTAATTCCCATCCTCTTATTGTTTCCCATGAAAACGAATTGTTGGGTCAGAGGTGAAAGGCTACATTTCCAGTGTTTTCTGTCACCCAGGAATCAGGCATTACCATCATATCCAAAGTTTGTCCTCTAGTTACTTTGTTCTAGAGGTGCTCACAATGGACACTGTGACTAAAATGGGAGTTTCAAGGAGGCAGGATGATGACGGAAGTCGGGCCTCAGTTTCCTTCCGTGTGTTTGTCCTGAACTTGCCAGCAGCGGCAGCGAGGACCTCCAGTGCCTCCTGGGGATACAGCACAGCTCTGCTTCCCAGTCTCACCCAGCTCAAGCGACGGGCCCTCCCGCCCTTTCTCCTCTTTTATTGTTTCAGGTTAGTGCTCATTTTGAGAGGTCTTTGCAATGAGGATGAGTTGCACTAAACAGACACTATATAAATAAATCAAGCAATAATTATTTATTTTGTAACAACAACAAAATATCAAGTTCACCATTCAGCAAGGTTTTTCAGTTAGTGATATTTTGATTTTGTTAAAGCTCAACTGCTCCACTTTCCTACACACACGTGCACACACACACACACATACACACATACTTTTTGTAATAACACTTGGGCACTGAGATCAATGCATAGACCTATTTGAAGCCAATGTTTCTATTTGAAGCCAATGTTTCTATAAGAGGGCAATCAGATTCATTACGTTTTCTCAACTGAGAAGCCCTATTCAATACCTGTAAGAATATATACTGGGACAAGAGGTAATTGATGTGATATTGTGCCAAATAAAGTACAAATATTTCCTATCAATTGTTTGCCTAAAAGCTGCCAAACACCTAAAGAGGACTTTCCTAACTCCGCCAAGACACACACTTAAAGTATGACCACTATTCCATTATTAGCTGACACTCTATCTTTGTCCAAAGATTTACTGGGGAAATATATTCTGCAATCAAACATAACTCAGTTTTAAATCCCTTTGTAATACTGTAGCACTTGTGTAGCCTGTAAAAACTTCATGCCATAAATTAGACCCTTTATTTAATACAGCTGGTTAGCAGCTCCTGCATAAAGTATCACTGCCATGGCCATCAACATTGTCAATATCATTGAGTAGCTAGTTTGTCCAAGACACTGTGGTTTTGCCAGATATACAAACGTCCAGAAAACAAAGTTTCTGGATAAAAACCCAAGGTTGGTTTTCTATGTGCCAAATGAGTGGAAACTTATTTAAGGAAGAGAGAGAAGGCATGTAGCTGATCATTTAGCACCTTGCATAAAGCCCTGTGCCACAAATCATTCATACACATTATCACAGAATCTTTACAATAACCCTGGGAAGTGTATATCAATAAACATGTATTATAGTCGAAGTTGAGTTCAGAAAGATTTAAGTATTTAATCCAAGATCATGCTGTAGTCAGACATAGTAAGGCCCATATTGGAACCCTAAAATGAGCAGAATCCAATGACTGCATTATCCAAATCTGCGGTACTTTGGCAATTATACAAAATTACCAGTAATTCTCTTCACCAGACATGGGAATCTCAATTTATTATACCTCTCTTAAGGATATTATTTTCCAAAATTTTAATTACATTTTGGTAGATCTCCTTTCAACCACATCCAAGCTACGTGTGTTTATCAAAAATCGACTAATTCGCAACTAGAAACAACTATGGCAAAGTTCTATCACAAATGGAAAGTAAATAATACACTTGAAATCACAGAACTCTACAGAGAAAAGATCTTAACAGTCACTTAATTCAACCCCCTTATTTTATAAATAAGGAAACTATAACCAAAGATTTCACAGTTAATGCTCATAAATTCTATATTGAGAACTTTTTTGTTTTCTCATCTGGGATAAATGAATGGTATGAACTTGATTCACCTAATTCAGTCACATCATTCAATTCATACTTATTCTTGATTTTCTAGACAGAAATGCATTATCTTGAGTATTAGGGAAAATGATGTGAGAAAACTAGATATGATATATGTAGTCTTAGTCAGAGAGGGAGAGATGAAAATTAAAGAGCCTGCTGCATTTGCCTGCACTACCCTGAGACACTAAACTGACCAAGTGCTAAAAGTCCTAGTCTCTACCTAGCACTCTGCTTTTCATTCCACTCATGGCACTACTCTTGCTTCTCACTGAACACTCTAAGCTCAGCCCTTCCACAGGACCTTTGTACTTGGTGTCCCCGCTGCCTCAAATAACTTCCCCCTAGATGTCCATGCGACGAGGAACACTTTTATTTCCTTCAGGTCTGTGGCCACATGTAACAGACTCAGAGAGAGCATCTATCAACATCCAAAGTAAAACAACACCTAGCATTTCATTATTTAGTTTTTACCTGTCTCTTCCACTAAAAAGTTTCATGAATGTAGAGGCTTAGACTCTCAAGTTCACGGATATAGTCCCACTGCCTAGAACATAGTGGGACCTTAATATTTGCTGCTTATGTCTATGAATGAAACAGGAGGTAGACTTGAAGGCCAAATTTCAGATAATCCCAAGAAAATTGTAATAATAGTTACTGAAACGTTACCATTATCTGTCTTTTCTACTTGGACACTGGACATCAGTCCAAAGATCTCTATTCAGTTGCACAGTTAATGGGAAAAACACTGGATTGTAGAGTTTTCGCATATACACAATACCTCACTTGCAACTATCCTGGTTATAATGCTATAGATAATCACTCACATCTAACTATAATTTTGGGCTCTTGTTTCTATATTCCAGATTAAATGATTGCTAGGTTGTATATGCCACTATGCTAAAAAAAAAAAAAAGTAGGCATTGTATTTAATACTCTCCTAGGACAGATTATCTTGACATGATTTATTATTGACATAACAGACTACTTTATTAAAGCCAGCTAATATACTGAAGTTTTCCTATTTTTCACCTTAAACACATATTAAAAGTATTTACCACATGCTAACAAATAGAATATTGGTTGATTCCACAATCATCTTAGGCTTCCAAGGACTAAGTTCTCAGTTTTGTGGGAAGTCCGTAACGTTTACCAATCAAATAAGCAATTATGCTTCCCAATTATTTCTGTCAAGGTCTCCATCATTTGGGTTTGTATTCCATCTTCCTCTTTAGAGTCACTGCTGTCTTAGTGTTGTTCATATGTACTAAAAAGAAGAAAGAAGGAAGGCAGGAAGGGCAGGCTGGCAATCAGGTCAGGCCCAGCAACTTCATATAGCCATGACCTCTCCCACAACAGAGCAGAAGCATTCCTCCGGTACTGAGAGCGGATGACCACGTATCACCTCTTACCTGCTCTGTGCCATAGGTGACCTACCACAGGTAGCCTGCCTTTCCTCACCATAGGATTGCTTGGGGCACTTGTTAAGATGTGATTCCCAGAGCTTCCCTTTGGAGACTCTGATTTACTGGGTCCGAGTTAGGGGCCTGCAATCTTTGCTTTTAACAGCACCAGATTAGTGACTGGCAACCTTGAGCCTGTATCTGAATCACTGGGAGGGCTGGTTAAAAGCAATTTGCTCTACCCTTGAGTTTCTGATTCAGTAGTTCTGGGGCGTGGCCCATGAATTTGCATTTCTAACAAGCTCCCATGTGATGCCCTTGTTCCTGGTACCAGAAACCACACTTTGAGAATGATTTTACTAGAAGCTTCTTATAACCAGGTGAGTTCAAAGGAAACACCCATAACACAATTCTCTAAAACTATCATTGAAATGATATATTTATTTTCCCCTAACCTTGTAATTTGCCCATTTAAGATGTCACCCAGTGATTTCCTGTGAGCCAGGAATCAAACTCAAACACACCTCTGTGACCTCTACAGAGCAGGAAATACAGAAGTGGATGGCCAATCGACTGCTTTACTTTTACCGAGGTAAAAACAATAGTCTAAACTATGTAGGCACAGTCAATAATGTCTGGATTGTAAACTGAAAGAGTTCATACCACAACAAAGCAGGCCCGAGAAAACTATCAAGAGAACACAGAAGGCTTTCAAAGTTTGTACTCCCGGGTCAGACTCAGATTTCTGCTATGTCACCACATAGCACCTAGTGGAATGAGCAAGAGCTAATTTTTAAAAGCTGACCCGGGCACACCTACTATTTAGAGATCCAAATTGGGCCACTGGGGCTTTAAGGAATGGCGCTTCACAGCTCGGTCCTGCCACTATAAACTCAGGCCGGTTGCATCACTACTTTCCATGAGGAATTTAAGGGGTGTGACTGCATCCTTTCCAACCCTGCATTCCACATGTGACAAAACTGATCCAGCTGTTTGTCTGAAAGAAATTCCTTGCTGTCCTTAAAAATTAAAAAGCAAGTGGATATCCGTCCTCCGGGGGCAAGCCTCCAGCTGGAACCTGGTATAGGCAGTTGCGAAACAGAGACAGTGCCCTGGAGAGCATCTGCTTTTGAATTCTTACCTCGCCATAGGGGGGTTAGCCCCATCTTGCTTTTTGAAATGGCAGATTCTGGATGGAGGGTGCTGGCTTGGCCCAAAGCTCTTGAGAAGTGTTCATCCACTACTGACCCAATGTCTCCCTGGAAATAAGTGAAAAGGACACAGCGAGAGTTAAGGTACTCCATCTCGGCAGGCTGGTCTTTCTCCTCCTCCTCCTCCTCCTCCTCCTCCTCCTCCTCCTCTTGTTTGCTGGGAAGGGTGACTTCCAGAGAGTCCTGCATCTTGCTGTATACCGCTAACTTCTTCTGGGATGGAATAAACAAAACACGGTATCAAAGACAGTTTGTAAGAAAGCACGCACTACTTAACTTTTCACTTAAAAAAAATCTAAATATTAACATATGTTTGCAAACTGATTCTTGGTCTGCTATACTCCCTCTTTCCCCTCCCCAAACCAGTCTTCTCCTCCCCACCCTGAAAAAATAAGTCTGTTATTTCCAATTTGACAAAAAAAAGAGTAAATTATCATTACCAGACAATATATTTTCAGAGTGTAAAAGACAGGTTTGTTTGGTTTCTCTTTTTCATAATCTAAACATATCAAAAGGAGGATGGCTTTAAAAACGGGACAGATTCTTTCCGGTTTTTCATCAATTTTCTATTTTAAAGCTTCAGTGTACGCCAACATTACAGTTTGGACACAGAGGACTGGGGGACAGGAAGGGGTGCCCAGGGGGAGGGGTGGAGAAGAAAGGAGCTTTCCGTAAATGAAATAAACTAAAATAAAAACAGGAACGTAGCGTCTTATAAAAGGATTTGGCAGATGTGCCCAACTCATCTCTCAAAAATCAAACTAAAATGACAAACTAAGTCCGTGTGAAGATCCATTTTGCATGGAACATATTTGCAGATGTTGCACTTGCCCCCATTATCATGTGGGGGAGCAGAGATGATATTCTGGCTTACTGAAAATAATACCCGGTGCTACCAATGGCTAGGGCAGCTTGCAAATAAAGATAAGAGAGTTTTGATAATTTTAAAATATGCTTAAAACATATGCTCAATATGCTTAATGGTCAATATATATTACACCAGCCACTCTTATAAAACCTGAACTTATTACCTCCCTTAGTTGTTATAAATTCTACATCATGGTTATTATCACGGTGCATATTTTAAAGATGAAGAAACAAAGGCACAGAGAAGTGAAGTCACTTGCCAAAGGTCACAGAGGATGAGAGTGGTGGAGCTAGAATGCATAGTAAGAACATGCAGGTATATTTATGTGTGTTTAGAAGGGCAGGGGAGGGGTATCTAGTGTGGGGGGAAAAAAATCACCAAAATGGTATGTTATTGTTTTCTGGCTGGTAAGTTCTGTAGTTGTTATTCCCACTTTTTCAATATTTCCAAATGTTTTTCATTGACTACATATGATTTTTGTAAGCAACAACTTCAATGTGAATTATATATATAAGATAATGCTAAAGATTGTTGTAAAACTTATTATCCTAATGATGAAATGAGCTCTCTCATTCATATACCTGCAAAACCTGTTTCTTTGTTATGCCATTTTTATGTCAGAAAAAAATGCATGCTGGAAAATGAATGTGAGTCAAAAAAAAGAAATCATTCTAGAATACTCGTAAGCACATAGTTTTGCAAATGTTATCAAAACACATAGCCCAGACTCGTGGTTCTAATGCAATTACTAGCTTCAAAAATCTATAGCCCTAAATTATAAATGCATCATTCAATAAATTAAACACTTTCCCCCAGCAATGAATACGTTGTTCTTTGAGTGAGGTGGGCCCTGAAATGTTCAGGCATATTATGAGCTGTTGGTTATTATGTAGGAGCTGTTATTTATAAATATATGTATTACTTTATATTTAAAATCTGTGTCAATATGGTTATCGCTTGCCGATGAGTAGATAATTCATTCCTGTGAGTGAATATGCCTTGCAGCTGAATAGGCGATTGTAAAGACTGCGCGGTTATATTTCTAACAGTCTGTTTTGCACAGGTTTGAACATGTTTATATTTAACTTCAATAGTAAAAACACCACGGTAACAAAGGTTATGTATAAAATAAGAGGACTGAACTAAATGGCCTCTAAAATTACTCCTGACTTTAAATTCCATTAAAAAATAAACAAATATTACAATTTATTAGTCAAATCACAGGACTATTTCTCTGTGTGCATGTGTATTTATCTGAAGTTATGCCGTGAAGCATATATACACACACTCTCTGCCAAGTACTCCAGTATATTAAAAAGAAGCACTGTTTTTATATAGGAAAGCTGTTAAAACTGATCTAGGGAGTGACTTCACTGTCCACTGGTGTTCATTACTATCTCTGAAACTGATCTTTTTTTCCTGTTAATGTCTAGTTCAGCATCAGTTTGTGAGAATCAGGTTTAGCATCTAATTGTTTCATTTGTTTAATTTTAACATTTATTCTTTAAAGGAAAGAGCCCTGGGCTGTGCTAAGTATCCAAAGAAAGGCAATGTTTTATTTTATCCCAATTAGCAAATAATTGTTAGATGAAATAAATTTAAAGTTTTATATATATGTAAAAGATTTACAACTGCAAATCCTGATATAAAGATAGCATTAGGACCAATAATAGCAGTACTAAAATATCTTAATTTATTAATTAACGGCAGTTGAATTTAATCTATAGATTTTCTTTTTTTTTTAAAGATTTATTTATTTATTTGAGAGAGAGAATGAGATAGAGAGAGAGAGCATGAGACGGGGGAGGGTCAGAGGGAGAAGCAGACTCCCTGCTGAGCAGGGAGCCCGATGCGGGACTCGATCCCGGGACTCCAGGATCATGACCTGAGCCAAAGGCAGTTGCTTAACCAACTGAGCCACCCAGGCGCCCAATCTATAGATTTTCAATTTATTTAAGATCACACAAGTTTCTAAACGCTGTAAAATTTCATGTTACTCTTTTTTACCAAGTGTTGAATGGTTGGATAAAAATCATCTAAAATTTACATATGAAAAATTCGATATGAAATGGGGAAAAAGTGAACAAAATCTGCCATTGTATCAAAATGCCTTTTATTAGTCTATTTTCTAAAAATCATTCTTCTGTTTATGGTTGCATTTATTCCCTATATCCTTTACATTTCATACATACATAATGTATGTCTGTGTATGCATAAATATATAATATAATTTCCTTTGACAGGCAAACACAGGTGATTTTATAAAAATACATGTATTGACTCTATTTAAATACAACTTTTTGAATGAATATAAGATATGCTTTTGTTTTTTCTCTCCCAGCTCTTTAAGACAGGTCTTCTATTAATTCTATACATTTGCTTGGAGACTATCAAATAAATAAAATGGAAAGAGAGCCTATGATACATCTACCAATAGGCAGGACATAAGGCATATCTATCATTCTCTTGTATTTTTTTCAGATAAAGGTGAGTCAATTTTCACAAATTATAGTGAACCAACTTAAATATTTACATTGAACACACATGCACACACTCACACATATGCACATGCGCACGCGTGAACACACACGATTAGCCTCACCATCAATACCACTAGTTAAAATAAGAATTCTAAAGTATCCAGATGGCCTGAAACCTTCCTAAAATGCATTGAATTTGCCTAATTTTTAATGTTTTTCCTGAAGAACAATATAAACAGAAAAGGCTACATATCATAAATGTATAGTTTGTAAACTTGATAAACTGAGTACATCAATGAAACTAGCAACAGACCAAGGACTAGAATATCCTCACTGCTTCCTTCAAGACCACTATCTCCTCAGCAGCAACCACTAACCAGACTTCTATCAATGTAGATAGCCAAAACTATCTTGTACTTTATATAAATGGACTCCTACAGCATGTACCCTTTTGTGTCTGGCTTCTTTCACTCAGTATCGTGTTCATGAGATTCATGCATATTGTCGCATGCAGTTTTAGACTGTTCCTTCTCATTGCTGTGTAGTACTACATTCATCTATTCTACCTCTCACAGGCATTTGGCCAGTTTCCAGATTTGGGTTATTACAAAGAGTACTTCTATGAACATTGAGTATGTCTTTTAATGAACATATGTCTGCATTTCTTTGGGGTATACATTGAAGGGAAGATTGCTGGGTCATAGGGTATGTACAGATGTGGTTCAGCCCTAACAGATATTGCCGGTTTTCTCAAGTAATTTTCACCAACTTACACATGGACGGCCAGTTTACGAGAGTTCCTGTTGCTCCATATCCCTCTCAAGCCTTGGTACTGGATGTCTTTTTTCAGTTTTGCTCTCCTGATAGATATCCCAATTTTTTTAACTTTTTTTTCATTGAGGTGAAATTCACATAAAATTAACCTTTTGAAAGTGAATGATTCTGTGGCATTTAGTACATTGAGAATGTTGTGCAACTACCATCTCCATCTAGTCCAAAACATTTCATCAACCCAAAGGGAAATTTTCTACCTATGAAGTATTAACTCCCTATTCTCTGACTCCTCCCCACCAGTCCATGATAACCACCAATCCGCATTCTGTCTCTAGGAATTTATCTATCCTGGATATTTCCTATAAATTGAATCATACTTATGTGACTTCTTTCTCTTAGCATGTTTCCAAGGTTCATTCACACTGAACAGTACTTCATTCTTTTTATAGCTGAGTAATATTCCATTATATGTATATACCACAATTTGTTTATCCATGTATCCACAGATGGACATTTGACTCACATCCACCTTCTGGCTACTGCAGATAGTGCTGTTATGAATACGTGTATACATGCATTTGGTTGCATACCTCTTTTCAAATCTTTTGGGTAGGCATGTATGATCATTGGGTCATATGGTAACACTAAGCTTAACTTATTAGGGAACTGCCAAACTGTTTCCACAGCAGCTGAACCACTTTAGATGCCCACCAGCAATGTACTTGGTGTCCAATTTGTCCACATCCCTTGGCAGAAAAATAACACTTATTATTTTCTGGATTTTAAAGGAATTATTATTACAGCTATAGCCATTCTAGTGGGTATGAAGTGGTACCTCACTGTGGTTTTGATTTGCATTTCCCTAATGACTAATGATGTTGAGCAATTTGCATACATTTAAAAAATATTAAGTGTGAGCACAAAGAAAACAGGAACAGAATTTAAACAGCAATGGATTCATACACTGACAATCACACCATCTTAATATTCTCCTCCATAGACTCTTAAGCCTTAGCTGCTTTCCAGTATCTGTGCTTTGGTGAGTGTAAATCAATTCTTTGCCTATTTTTTTTAAAAGATTTATTTATTTA